GCAGGAAGCAATTGTAAGAAAACTAAGCCCCCTCTCCCAAAAGGTTTTGTTTGCATTAAGTTTTGAATCTTCTTATTTAGACAAAAAAGGGGAAATGTAGTGATATTTGCTCCACCCATGACCTTGGGCTATAGGGCCTGAAGGAGGCGGTGCTTCCTACCATTGTAAGTGACCTCTTAAAAGGTAAGGGAGAAGAGTCACGAATCATGGAGCCCCCTGTCCCTGCTGAATGCTTCCTGGTCTGATTGAACTGCCAGGTGGATTGGCTCCCAGTCAAATCAGAGGACAACTTCAGTTGTCTACTCTCTTCTGTATCCATGAGTGTATCTCCTCAATTACTCATTAAATAGACTCTTCGTGGATTGCTCTTCATAGGCACGATTTGAATGCAAACCATGGACCCTGAGTGGTAATGATATGTCATTGTCATTGTAGATCATCAATGACACCAGGCATGCAGCTTTGCTGGGGGTGCTGATAAGGGTGCACGTGTGTGGGGTTGACAGTGAATGGGATCTCTGTACATTCTCCTAACCTTTGCTTGAACCTAGAAATAGCTTTTAAAAATAAAGACTATTTTATTCTCTCAAAGGAAGAAAAAGTCAATTCCTAACACCAAAAAAAAAATTGTTAGGGCAATTAATAAAAGCAAGATAATGAGATATTTAGCGTATAATCAGTACTATCTAAAACTTAGTATTCTTGGGACTGGCAAGATGGCTCAGGCGTTAAGAGTACTTGCTGCTCTTGCAGAAGACCCAAGTTTGATTCCCAGCACCCATATTGGTTGGTTCACAGTTGCCTCCAGTTCCAGGAGATTTAATTCCCTCTTCTGACCTCCTGCACCTGCATGTATGTAGTACATACAAATACACTCAGACCTGCACACACACACACACACACACACACACACACCACAACACAAACATGCATTAAATAAAAAAAAATTTAATATTTTTTAAAATTTGTATCCATCCCTTATTCTCAAAGATAAGTGTAGCTTCCTGCCTTATTAAAGAATCTTGTTTTTACAGCACACAGAGATCATTGCAGAAAGTCACAACTGGTTCAGTTGACAAGAGCAACTTACAGTTGGGTGCCTAGCATCAACTGATACGTCTACAACACTATCCCTATGACTAAGACTTGGGAAATGTCACAGGAGAGAGGGTGAAAATTGTGTAAAAGCCAGCAGACCAAATCATTTTCTAGGACATTTGTCTTCCAAATATAATATGAAGGCTGCACCTTTGATATCTGAACAATATGCTTGCCTTAACAAGACCTGAACAATGACAACAACAGTTGACACTCAACCACGGAAGGCAGAATTCTCCCAAGGCTCCATCTTTAGATAAAGAGGTATAAGCAATTAATGTCTACTGAGAGAGGAAGAATCAACCTTCCCCAAGGATAGGCTTATCAAATGCTATGTGATCAGCCCTAAAATCATATGCCTATGAACAACTCTAATAGACTCACAGGTTGTATTTATATATTTATTCATGTCTGTAACAATAATAACTAAAGAAAAGAGGCCATGAATTTGAGAGCAGGGGGTGACATGGGAAGTGTTGGAGAGAAATAACATAAATAAAATGATGTAAACACCACATATATGAGTTTTTAAATAGATTCTGAAATTATAAATTAGGATATATTTGAATTGTTTTAACAATACACACTGTACAACTTACAAGTCCAACCAGATTTGTTGTAAGCCATTGAATAAATGGACCACACACCTTTGCTATGCACCTCTCCTCCATCCCTCTCTACTAGTTTTCATGTAAGTGAGGACAGAAGTTGGAGATGAAAAAGCCTGGATGCCTGGCTCTGCCAGGGACATGAACTTGAGGAAACCAATTAAACTCTTGGTACCTCAATTTCTTCATCTGCCAAGCCGTCTGTCACCAAAGCCTTTGAGATGATGGCTAGGGAATGGCTCACTTCACCTCACAAACCTTCTTCTTTCCTTACTGGGCTCACACCCAACTCTGAGACTAGGGGGGAAAAAATGGTTCTAGACATATACATTTTAGAAATTTCTGGTACATTAATAGCTCCTGCTCATCATGAATGGTACTTTAAGTATATTACTTAATCGCTATTAAAATTGGCCATATATAGTTGCCACATATCAGACATTTAATTATAAAAATATAAAAAAAAAAATGCTGGGAAGACAGCTCAATTGGTAAGTGTTTTTCTGCAGTCGTGCAGACCTGAGTTCAGATCCTCAGCCCCCACATAAAAAGCCAACATGAATGTGCACGCCTGTAATGCCCCCACTGAGGAGCAGAGACTGGGAGATCTCTGGAGTTTGCAAACCACCCAGTCTAGCCAGTTGATCAACTCTAGGTTCAAAAAGGGACTCTGTCTCAAAGAAATATGGCGGGGAGGAGACAAAAGAAGACACATTATTTTGACTTTGTCCTCCTGAGGGGCATGCATGGACATGTGAACCTATATGCGTGCACCATACACATGCACACAAGAAATAGAAATTCTGATCCAGTCATAGGAATCCACTTTTAAGCTATCTTTTTTTCTTACCTAGTAGTAAACAGAAGAGGGCGCGCTAAGACTAGAATTCAAATCCTAGTCTTAACTGTTGCTACACCAAGCAATTTCTAAACCAGTGGTTTTCAACATGTGGGTCATGAATGTTTCACAGGGGTCCTAGATCAGATATGCTGCATATCAGATATTTATATTGTGATTCATAACAATAGCAAAATTAAAGAATTATAGTGGTTCTCAACCTGTGGGTCACCTAAAACCATTAGAAAACAGATATTTACAATTTATAACAGTAGCAAAATTACAGTTATGAAATTACAATTATGAAGTAGCAATGAAAATAATTTTATGGTTGAGGGTCACCACAACACGAGGAATTGTACTAAAGGGTCTCAGCATTAGGAAGGTTGAGAATCACTACTCTAAGCCATCATTACCTAAAATATGCAAACTATTTAATGATTTATATCCAACACAGTTACATCTACAACAGTAATAATAGAAGCTTAGGCTATTAAAGTCAGAGACACAGTAAGAAGTGAGTCTTGAGTTATCATTCAAGGATCTGAATATAAGCTAATTTATTTTAATAAATGTAGTACAAATTCCTTTAATGATATTAACACAGTATGTTTGCTCTTTTCTCCACTGCATGTGTAGTTTTAAATGACACTCACATATCTAAGAGATACACAATTCTTTGTTAGGTTTCTTTATGTATAATAACATCATTTTAATGCTGAAAATATTTTATTATAGAGAATAAAGTTATTTTCCTTTGGTTAAAATACTTCTTGCTTTCTCCTTATTGCTAAAATTTAGGACTTATGCCCAAGTTAATCCATATGGTCAACTGTTTCAATTACCAGTCACTTATCATATGACCCAGAGTGTAATTTTTCTGATAATTATATCTATTTTATCTATCCAAAATTGTATCTATGCTTAAATAGATAGATTTTTCTCTATCTATAATTTTATCAGTTCAGACCTCACAACTGACACGTTGGTAATTTGTCAAAGTTCCACCAGACATTGTACAAACCATTTCATGGCTTATATCCAACAGTAACATCTACAACAGTAAAAAAAAAAAAAAAAAAAAAAAAAAAAAAAAAAAAAGAAGTTTAGGGTATGAGCGCTTCAGTCAATAAGAA